GAAGAGAGGGCCCAAAGAAGGGGACATCATCTCGGGCTGTGACTGAAACCTGAAAAAATGAAAAAAAAAGAATCAGGGTCATAACGTAAGTGAGACTTTCAAAGCCTCCTACAGCAAGAACTGGAAAGTACTTTGTCTTAGTCAAGAAATATTGTCCCTTTATGATTCTAAAAGACAACATCTCAAATTAGAAGAAGAGAACCAAAAAGCAAAGTAAAAAAGGCCATGGCTGAGGGGGAAGGAGCAGCACAGCTCAAGGCAGAAAAGAAGAAACAGAATGCTAAAAGGAACAAATTTAGATAAAAAAAAGAATAAAACCAGAAAATAAATAAAAGGTAGGAAGGCCTCCAAAGGAGAATTCACAAACAATAGCTTTCTATTGGAAACCAAAGTCCTGTTTGTTTGCTGGGGATGATGAGAGGAGCAGAGGGATGGTTAGCACATTCCACCCTATGCATCCTAAACGAGTATTCCTCCAGCTGCAAGTGCTAGTAACGCAGACAGTCAGAGTGTGAATACCGTCAGAAGAAAAAGAAGAAAAACAGAACCTTCACTTGTACTGTGTGCAGATATGAAAACATCAGATAAAATAAAATGCATCATCTCGTGCATGACTTTTCTGTGAAAACCTTGCTGTTCTGCAAAAAGATTTCAATCTACTATGGTACTTCTAACCCCCCCGAATCATTTACATATTTGACAAAGCTAATGCAATCAGAAATACAGTATAATACAGTATAATATCCACTGTAGATATCCACAAGATATCTAATATGCTAATATCCATTTTCTGTTCCTGGCCTCAGTGAATGGATGTGCTGACTTAGCTCCCAAGAATTCAGTTAGCTAGATGTGCACAGTAATAGCAACAAAACTCAGTCAAGCTAATTAAGTTAACCAGTATATTTACAACAAAAAAGTAGATACTTCTTTTCAGTCTGCAAGCTTTACCTCCACTAGAAGAAGCTTCTGTCACTGCAGTTGTACTGATCTTTTTTTTTTTTTTTTTTTTTCTTTTTCTTTTGACAGAGACTCCTCAGTGGAGATACACTCTATGCTGAGCGGAGTAGTCCTGTACAGTGACACCATCTCTCTGAACCAGATACACTAAGAAGACAAAAGCACTTTCCCCGTAAGAGATGAAGGGATCAGTTTTTTGTTTTTTTTTCCCATATACTCCTACCTGACACACTCATGTCAAAAAGAACCCCTGTAATGCAGTCCTGGACACCACCAATGGTGTAGCTAGCACTCTAAGTCCAGTGTGTATCCTATCTAGATTTCTGTTATCCTATCTAGATTTCTGTATAGTATCACTTACACACAGAGTATATCTTTAAGTATATGCAGCTATGTTACCCAAAATATAGAGCACTTGGAGCATTTCACAGTTATAATTTTATCTTTCTGTTTGAGATGAAGCAATACCATTCTTTGCCATTTCATACAACAGGGAACAGTGTCAGAGCAATTTAACAGAGACTGCCTCAAAATAACACTGGAAATGTTCCAGAGCCAGCAGCATGGGTTTAACAGAGGAAAGAAGGAAAGAAGCCTTTGACTTAATTCAAATTTCTCACATTGTAGGCCAGCTCCCCTAATTACAAGGCCTCCATCTCTCTCCCAATAGATATCCACCAGTTAAAATCCTGTACCACATTTTCTGATTGCAAAAACTGATTCAAAATAATAAATACTAGGAATATTTAAATATAACTGTTAAGCACTAAAGCTTAAATACATGGAAAAGATGGGTAGGAAAAAAATCTTCTCAAACTGAAATCTCATATATACTAGAATGTTCTCAAGGCAGAATTAGTTAAAATCCCCTGGGAAAAGCTTTTAGACAAAACTCTGCATTGGCCCCATGGTCATGGCTGGGATCTTTTTTTTTTTTATAAAATGATAGAGGAAACCCTATTACAAAAACAATGCCTTTGCAGACAGACAAAGAGGGGAGCAATAGTAGGAAGGGATAAAGTAAAGGACAAGCTTCCCCAGCTCTTACTCTTTTAATGAAAAAATCCATTGCACCCTACAAAATGGACAGTAAGGGGAGAAGTGAAACCTCATGCCCCTGATCATGATGGTGCTATTACATTGCTATAGACCAGGCTGCCAGTAGCACAGGGAACACATGAAACTGGCTGTTCTACCCCCAGCACCCTATTTGGTGGGAGATGTGATGGGATCCTGTTCTAAATTTGATATGCTTGGCATTCCATAGATCTGAAAGGCTGAAGGACTCCTTATTCCTTATCATCGCCAAATCAGAAATCCCACATAATATAAGACATAGGACTTTACTGCATTTCCTGCTTAGAGTCCAATCACTGTACTTGAACTAGGGTTTTTTTTAAGAAAGTATCCCATCTTGACTAAAATGTTTCTACAATGGAAAATCCACGATAAAATGAAGCTTCTAAACTTTCTGCTGTCTCAGGATGGTTGAAAGCTGAATATAAAGTTATATAGACATTCATACAGTATCCTGTGACAGAGAAAAAGCTATGGAAAGGGGCTGCAGAGAGGGAACTTGTGTTCCATTAGGGCTCCCTTCCAGTGGGGATCCTTAACAGGTAGCACACCTGTGCCAGATGGGCAGGTTACATGAGCTAGTTAGTTCCATAGATCAGGTCAACCAGCTGTATCTGCCATGTGCAGTCTCAAGACAGGAAAACTCTCAGCACTGTGCTGTACAGCATGTACAGTAATGAAGTGAAGACTGTGAAGACTGTCACAAAGTGTCTCTCAGGGTCAACTTCACAAGTCTCACTGAAAATATAAAATACAAGCAAGACATATTCCCCCAAAGCTGGATCATTTGCTCCTCATGCTCTTTGAAATAAACACAAAATTTTAATCTGAATTTATCTGACTTCAATTCCCAAGCCTTAAGCTTTTGAAATTTGTCAGCTACTTTGAAAAACATACAAGTACATTCTAGTTTCACATATAGATATTTACGGACTGATAAAATCATTTTTCGACCTTCTCTATGCTAGGCAGTAAGCAGTCCTGAATTCCTTTCAGGAAAATACTTGTGTTCCAGAATTTTAATCATTCTCAGCCTCATCTCTTAGCCTTCTTCAGCTTACCAATATCTTTATGAAATTCGAACACTCATCAAACATGAACACAAAGTAAATAGTAGCAATCACTCAAAACAGAGGACCCCTGCAAACTTAGAGAATACAGAAAATAGCAGGAAGGAGATTCCTGGTCAGAGATCAAAGGGCAAGTGAGGGGGAAGGAGAGTTTCTGGCAGCCACTGGATTGTTATGTTTATTGATAATAGATTTAATTTCACTGATAATGTTCACTTTCACTGATAACATTGGTAACGTTGACTGACAGAGGAAGCAAAGCTGTTGGGATGACAGTTGGTTGAACTTATACCTCCCCCAAAGGCTCAAGAACAGGTTTCCACTTCAAGGATCAGTATCACTAAGTCACCACTATTGGCTCCATTTACCTTGTAGAGAGTCTCCCCACTGGTGCTGTGAGCAAGCTGAATTACCACATAAGCATGTAAGAAATTAGAAGCAATCATATCAGGAACAAAAGGTGTGTTTTCATCCTGGAAAATGATGGCTACAATGTCATTCCCAATGTGACGCTTCCGCTGAAGCTGGAGAGAAAAAAATAATAAAAGAGGGATGCAGAGGAAACAGAGCAGAACAATAAGACAGGGCTTCCCTCCTCAATCTGTCTAGTACCTCCAACCTACCTCCTCAATCAAAACCCTCATCACTACTTTTACCACTACTCCAGCTATAATTCCCCACATTTAAGCAGTTAGGCATTCTCCCCCTACCTAGCCCCTCATCAAATACCCCTCTCATCCACCCTGTTGAATTCCTCAGCTCTCCTTACAATACCTGCTGGGAATCTCCCTCAGTGAAGGGCAGTTTTGTAGACACATGAAACATGATCTCCTTGCCCCGGAAATTTGTATAGACCGATTCAGTGCCGGTTTGACCCCTAGCGACATCCAAGCCTCCCCGGAACCTGAATAAATCAATACCATGTGGTAGGTTGGGCAGGATAGAGGTGAGAGAGATAAGGATGTGGAGAGAAGAAAGAAGATATCAGTAACACTAGCTCGTATATCAACATTATCAAAGGTAATTTTTAAGAAATCAGTGACAGAGGGGCACCACATCTTCCCAAAACAAATGAATTGACTGAAGCTGCACAATGTTTCTGCTGATGAACTCCCTTGCTTACTAAAAACAACAAAGCTAAACCAGGGATCCTTAGAGAAACTCATTTCTTTGGCATTCCCCTGAAAAACAAAATCCGTATTTGAGAAATAAAGAGAGTATAGATTGCCACACAGAAACAGACCAAAACTGTCCACTGGCATTGTGAAACATATTCACAAAATCAAAATAAAATTATTCTTTGCTGATGCTGAGGGACAGACTGAAATCCTACCAGACCTGTAAATGAAAACTGCCAGCAGAGAGGATGGTAGACAAAAGCATCTGGACTCCTACACCTACGTTGGGATTCCCAGAACACAGCACTCTGATGAAAGCAGAGCTTTAATAGAGTTGTTCATTCAAAGATGAAGCCTCATAAGCTATGTTCCCTAACTCATCCTGACTTTCAAACTGTGCTGGTTACACACCCACGAAAATCTTGCAGCTGAATCCTGTCACCAAGGAAATCCAGGAACTCCAGGAAGCCCAGACTCTCTTCTATGTTACTGAAGACTTCTTCTTCAGTTGTCTTCAAAAGGAAAGGAAAAGTGATAAAGAGCATAAAGAGTACAAAGAACAGGCAATGAGACTGTTTCTACACAGTCTCAGCAGCTTTGAGATCCTGCACAAAGAAAACAAATCAAGCAACACAAGGCAAGCTTGAACCTTTCTCTTTAAGGAGCCTGTATTTTCCACAAGGATAGTACAGACCTTGCTATCCCCTTTAAGTTCAGAGAACTGACTCTGTATTTTGCCTCAAGTATCTTGGGATTGGAAGTAAAGAGGGAGCTTACCTGTCCAGGTTTCTGGTAGATGACCCCAAATTTGAAGTTATTGCTTATGACATGTTCATCAAATGCCACAATAAGTTGTGAAGCCTGAGGGAATGAAAGGCGGAAAAATACAAATTATCAATGAATCTCATCAGCCAGCCCTTGATGGTAAAGGGCCATACAGACATAACAGTACATTATACCTTGGGATAGAGGACAGGAAAGAATCGTTCAACATTCACATCCTCACACAGTAGCTGCCGAGAGAGAGAGAGAGGGAGAGAGAAGTGTGATCAAAGTGTGCTCTTGTTTGCTGCAGTCGTAAGAGTGGGGACGTTGTTTAATAATTATTTGAAGGAGTCCTTTCAGGAGAAAATTCTATGGTAAAATTAGAAGAAGAGACGAGAAGAGACACTAAATAGAACTGTTAAAGGGAAGTATATGTCAGTACTGGTGGAGAATAGTGGAAAAGAGGGAAATGGGAGGACAGAGGCGTGAAAATAACTTGAAGGATAAGGGTTGAAAGAGGCAAAGAGAGACTCATGGTGTAAGAGCGAACAGGCAAGCATGGATCTCACCTTTGCCATTTGGACAGCATTGGGAAACTCATTCAGACAGGAAATGGGGATGAGATCATGCCTGGTGCCAGTTCGAGTCCTGACACAAAAAACAAAAAAGAGGTTAGAGCAAATGCTGAGGGAGACATAAGCAACTCTGGCTCTTTAAAGAAACAGCACCTATTCCTTCAGATCTATCCTTAAAGCAATTAATTCTAGAGAATTAATTTTAAATCTGGTACTTAAAATCACTGAAAAGGGGAAGTATTTATGCTTCTTGCTCATCGCTCATTGTTGGGGAGGAAGAGAAGACAAAACAAATGCTTAGTCTGTTGCTCTTTTGCCTTTGTGCTTTAATGCACATTTTGCACTTTTTTTCTATTTGTAGAAATCTGAATGTTGAAATATGATTCAGGGACACAGTATTATGATGGATACACAAGACCACACAATGAGGGTTTAAAGGACTGCTAAAAGGTCTGTTAGATACAGCCTAGGTAGGTAAACATGTGAAAACTGATGTATGGGGAAGCAGAAACTGGTGTAGCACTGTCCCAGAAAGCAGATGGAGAAAAGTTTCCTATCTCTCTCCCTATATTAAAGGAGAGATGTTTTTCTAGGGAAGAAGTATTTGGCTGCCACAGTCATCTTCCACCTATATGAACAAGCTATTGGGAAGGGGGTTGCATATAATAGGATATCTTAATAAAGTAATTAATACCTTTCTGTTTTTCACCAGACTCTTTCTATATAAGTTTTCCAGGCTCAAACTTTCCCTGGCACAGCTCACAGATAGGCTGTCTGTGGGGTTTTTTTGTCTGTTTCTTTTTGATTTTTTTCAGATTATTGCTCTGCCTGGCACTCTTCTCTATCTAAAATGGAGGAAAAACATCAGTGATTCTCTTGCAGCTGATTTCTGTGCAACCCCAAGTTTTCTGCCAATCCTGGATGAGAGATTCAGTTGCTGTAAGTAGCATATTGCCTACTGGAAGTGCATCCAGCCAACAGTGTGCTGAAAAGCTTTTCTGCAACGTGCTTATCACCTACACAAGACCATCTCTGCTCTCCCTCTAGTTTATTCAGCAGCTTTCTCTGGGTAATGGCCCTCTTTGGAACCCCCAAAGGTTGAGGGTGTGACCCCCCCGCCAAGGTTATGGTATTTTGTAGGCTGTCTTGGAAAGCTAATGAATGTTCTAGCTCACTTTCAGGTGAGCCTCAGTCTCGAGTACAAAGTTAGGCCTGAGATAGGCTGCCCTCTACCAGGGAATGCATCTTCTCCTCCTACAGAGTACTCATAGGTCTCTAAGTAAACAGAATGAAGATAAAAAGTTTCTTTTTGAGGGAAGAGTAGATATTTTTCTCACAGAAACTCTGAAGATATGCCTGAAAACACTACTTCAGCTTCCTGAAGGAAACTGCTGAGAGAAGCTCAGAAGGGAAGGCAAGAAAAGAAAGCTTAAAGGTTTCTTTGCAGTCGTCCCTAGGATAAAGACATCAACTCATGAAATTCACACTCATATCTATGGGAAGGGGAGTTCCTGGTAGGATGAAAGACACAGCACAGTACCATACACTTCAACAACAGGCATCGTTACCTCAGCAACAAGCGTAGGTTTTCCTGTTTCTCAATCTGTTCATATTTCACAGAAAGTACCAGGTAGCCCAAGGACGTGTCACTGGAGTAAAAGTTCTGGTGCTCCTGAAAACAGGAAGTCAAAGCACATTGTTCCCAACATGATTCCCAGGGAAGTTTACCAGATTTTTTGCATACAAACGATCACTCAAGTTTAGTTTATTTTTTTCTTTAACTAGCAACGGCATGCTTGAGGACATCTATACAGTCTCACAGTCACCTTGGCAATCAATACATAAGTACATGATGCAAAGTTCACCCCCTGTCAGTTCAGTTCCTTCTCAGCCGTAGACTATTAGAAGGGCTCCTCAGAAGGAAGCAGGATAACATTCAACAACACATTTTGAAGAACTCCAGTGTCTTGTAAATAGCTTTTCTTCTTAAATTTGAGGGACTGTCCCTCACATCTATTCACAGTCTGTATTACTAAGCAGTGATCTCCAGCACATTCACGTGGTCATGGAAATTTTCTATATGAACAGTACTGGCAGGATAATTACATAAAATGCAACATCACTTATGGTTGATTTCTAAGAGCGCCCACATCTTGGGAAGGATACAGCCAGAGCTCCAGGAAGTTGATTTGCGGATGGAGACTGTTCTCGGCAGTGCCTTGAACTTCAGTGTTATGTGTCTCCAATAAACAGAGCCACTCTGCCTTTTCAGTCAAACAATGAGCCGTGATGCAAACACCCTAGACAGTCTCTGTGTGAAAGTAGCTGTGGCCATAGATCTCTCCAAGGTATACAGTCACAGGGGCCTACAATAGCCTGGTTATCTCAACAGATATAGCCTTTTCACATCAAGCATGAAGGGAAACCTCAAGCAGAAAGAGAACACTCCATGAGTGGAACCATCCAGAAAGATTCAGATCTCTCTCATCTTCCTAGCAGAAGTAATTACCACTTTATGGACAGTTGATGAATGGAGTTGGCTGCTATATAAACTGACTGAACAAAGAGGAGAGAATGAACTATTCTGCTTTCAGCAAATAGTCCAGAGTTATTGGGACTGATGTATGAGCAGAAGAAACAGACCACTTGAGAATGTCATGCAGGGGACGCGATCCTCTTTGGATTAGATTAGATTAGTATCTTAATCTGTTGCTGCTAATGACAACACTTGTTTCAAGGAGCATTAGTACATTCCAATTTTTATCTTCCAATCCAGGAAACAGAATAGAATGAAACCGGTATTGTACTTCTGAGTTAGCAATGACAAGATATGCAGGTAAGAGTCCTTCTCAGCAAAGAAAAGAAAAAAAAGTCCTGCAACCAAAGAAACAAGTAGAATCCTGAAAGCAAAATCATCTCAGCTGCACTACAACAGGCAGAATTATCAGTGCTTTTTTTATGCCTTGGAACCATGAAAATCAGAAGAAAGCCATATTGCAATCTGCTGACCATGCAATCAGGAATGCATCCACAGAGATCCTCAGCACAGAACAGAAAAACACAGCTTTCTTTTGGTATCTTTTGCAGAGAAGTCTTGGGATGTTCCAAATCCCAGCTCATACACCTCAAGAGAACCAGCTGCATTTCCCACTTGTGGTTCTTCTAGAAAAAGAAATCCTGTCCACTCACTGAGATGTTAACAACTCCCAAGAGATAAGCTGCATACAGCTTAATGGGGAACTTGATTCCCAAATTCCACTAGTCAACTATTTCATAGAGAAGAATACCAAATGCCATCTTGTTTGCTGATATATTTCCTAGTGGTAGTGTTGCCTATCATCTGTTGACTTGAAAAGTATAATCGTATAATCAAAATAGTCTGCATATATCTCATAGTGCTTAGATTTTGTTCTGATGCACACCAGTAGTTTTATGCTGTATGGCTGTAGGAATGAGCTCCCCAGCCTAGACAGACAGTGTTTGTCATGGTCAAATTACATGTAGGAGAGAAATAAAACACCATTCCCCTGCAAATATTGAATGAGTTGTTCTGCCATCTGAATAAGTCATCTCAAATCCAGGAGAGTCATCTGCAACCTAAGATGACGACCAGGAAAGCTGCCGTCTGTAACCAGGATCACAAGACACAGAGGAAGCATCATAGGAAGCATTACATAAATGCATGCTTGCACTTGACATAGAAGTGGTATGCATTAGTGCAGTAAGCTGAGCGTCCAGTTGCACAGTCAGAACTTGCATGATCTAGAATCTGCTCTGTGAAAGGAATACTCTAGACACAACTAATTAATAGTAAGGACTGAATGGGAGTAAAGTGTGTCATTTGATCAAAAAAAGTTGCTGTGCAGCAGGCGGACATTAGTCTTCTAACAGTTTGTTCCTTAGCCTTTTGCCTAGAAAATACAGTAGGTCTGTTCTGTCTCACGTGTCTTGCAGCCTCCCCTAGCTTATTGGTGAAATCTCAGACGTGGAAAAATCTAAACAAATTTTTGTATTAGTAGTACTTCTGGCCTGTTGTGAAACAAAGATAGGACTAGTGAAATGCTCTGATATCTACATGGAAGTAGGCATCTTGAAGTCAAGGAAATAAAAAAATCTCTGCTTTGGAAAAAAAAAAAAAAAGGAATAACTAAGACTTCAGCCACTACCCTGAACTTGGATGTGAAGGTGAAGCTATTGAACATTTTTAAGAATTAGAGATATCATCTTCCTCCTTCCTCTTTGATATAGGAAAAAAGACACCAAGATCTTCCCTGCTACTGACTTACAGGGAAAAAGTTGTTTGGCTCCAGTGCTAGGATAGTCTATCTTCTGCTAAAGCAGACTCAAGAAGCGGGTACTGAAAAAGACAAGGTGTAAGTACAGAGCAGCAAACAGGCAAACTGACCCTAGCTGCAGCATCCAAATCACAGAAGTCCAGTGTGATCTGTCACACAAGTCAATGGTAGTGACTGAACCTCTCTCTACAGGGGAAGAACAGCTGAAAGCAAAGGAAGCCATAAAGGCAGAGAAGATGGTTTCTTTCTCCTGAGCATGACCTCAGGCATACTATGGTGTATTTCTCCTGAGCATGACTTCAGGGATATTAATAAATATTTGCGATGTGGACAACAATCAGATGCAGTAGTCAGAGTGACCAAGGGTAGAAAGCTAAAGCAGCTGAGGAATACATAAATGCAAGGAGCAAAACAAGAGCATGCTCAATGACCAGGTTAAAGTCTGACACCAAAGAAGCCCATAAATCAAAGCCATCCATATGCTAAGGTAGATGCCAAAGACAGGCTTCATCACAAAAAGGTGGAAAAAAGCAAATAAAAGTCTAGAAGGCAGAAAAAAATCAACAGGAGCCAAAGTCTGAAGTTAGCTGCAGCTGAAAGTCACACTGAGCTGCAAAGACCAGAAAAAAGAATGCCTTTCAATGAGACTTCAGAGCCCAATCCCAGCAGGTCTGACTTACTGGGATCTTAGTTGCTGTGGAAACTGGACTATATCAGCTCTGCAGCTGGCCGCAGCCAGACAGAGCTGCTGCGTAAAGGGGTGCAATCTTTATCAGGGGAACAGACACCAGAATTAATGGAGGTCTTAAAACTGAATTTTTGTCACCTTTTAAGCTACTCTGGCTGCCTAGGTTTATCCTGAGTGTAAGCCTGAGTTATAAACTGAGATCTGTGTAATTGTAAGTATGAACAAAACTATAATTTCCTCCTTATGACTTTTTTTTCCTCCTATGATCTTCTACCTCTGTGAAAACACATAGCGAGCAGAAGGCAGACTCAGAGTCCTTCAATATACAACAGCATTCATCTCTTTCTGTGTTAAACAGAGATGAACTATCAAAAGGCTACATAGTTTATATGGAAGATTGCAACTCAATGGTGACAAGATACCCTGAAGCCAAGATGACAGTGGTGGTCAGAGTAATAGAAACAGTTTCTGCAACTTCTAAGGTAGTTTGAAACAGAGTTCTAGATGTCAAACGGATCTCTATCAAAAGCAACTAGATATCTTTCACGAGGCCAAGGACAACAATTAAGAGAAGAGGTCAGGAGTGCTGACATTTTACTTGTGAAGTTAATAAAGTTATTAAGGTATTGGCTGTATTCTTAGCTGCTTATTTTTGTTGATGAAATAGAATTATTTGACTACTCAGTAGCAGCAATTGCACCAGAGATGAACAAACCAGTCAAAAGTAGGAGTCTTCCCCTTGGAACCTGGTAAGTTTCATCACTTCCTTTGGCAATAGGAGCATATGAAGCCAGAGAACATCAAAAGACCTTTGTAGGATTCAAAATGGGTTCATCAGCCCATTCTCTTCCTTCAAGATAATTAAAAACAAGAAAATAATAACTTAGAAAAAATAACTAAGAAAATAAACTTGGGAAAAACTGGTAACCTCTGGTCACCTGGCAGGTGACCAAATGACTACATGATGATGAACAGGAAGACAAATATACCTGAGCCTCCAAACATATCAACAGTGACAGATACCTCATGAACTTATAGTACTGGTTAGGCAGCATCATTATTCCAGCAAGCTGTCTTGCTGGAAGAGTGTAAAGTATAAGAGTCGTTTGCCAGTCAAATGACAACAAGGACCTAGAAACTAATGTCATTGCTGGCAACTGCAGAACACAGAAACACTAAGGCAGGGCTGGTGCCAAAATAACACCCGATAAGGCTGTCTCCGTTCAGGCCTTTCCTGCATCTCTCCTTAGAGAAAACTGAAAAAAAAAGAATCTTGGGCTGATGTCAGCTTGTTATGACAGGAAAATAATAACAGACTCCTAAATGCACGCATTTGCATACCAGAAAAAAATGATCCTAAATATGATAGGACCTGTTGTCTTGGTAAATCAGAGAACATGTTTACTGAAAGCATAAACTTGCAGTGATGAAATGAAATTACAGAAACCTTAAAATAACAAAGGATACCATTAAAATTATACCTATTTAATAAAAATACACTTTGAGTGCTTCAGCATTATCAAATAGTTTCCACCTTTTTCCTCCCAGGTTAAGCTAGAATTTCCCACTAATACCTTAAGATAGGGTTTCTTGCCATTATTTTATTGGTCACTTTTAATGTGAATCAGTTCCCCAATACAGTTCACAGTACTGCAGCATTACTTTAACTAGCACAAAGAAGGCACAGCGTAATGGAGATATACATGACCATTTGTAAAGGTAAGCCAGGAATTTCTTCCCACATCAGCAGTGCCAGCTTAAAGTGTTTATGAAATTGCACCCTAAGATTCTTCTACTGGCATTTCCAATGTGTACCATTACTAAAGCTTTTCTGACTTCAGGCTACTTCTCTATTATAGCCTTCTGAAGACAACTTATGCAGCTACTGTTTTCCATAGTATAACACACACAAACTGTTATAGTCTTCCTCCTACAGGCAAAATGAATCTTACTGTGTAATCATCATAAACCCAAACATAGACCATGAATCAGAGGAAAGGAACTGAGTAATGGCTTATATGTCTTAGCACATTTTTTTCCATTGTTTTTTAGGATCTGCGGTAAGGTGTTCTGTAAAAAGGGTCAAAAGAATTGTCCGGGTTTGAGTGAATTAGAATATGTGTACCCACAACAAAAATATACATATAGACTGTTGTTTTAATTTTGCAATACCAGCCATACTCTCATCTCTCCAGTCACTTAAAGGATATTATCTAAACAACTGGTTGTGCCTCTCCCATTATATCATGCTTATGGACTCTTTCTCAGACTAAGGAATGGCCACAGTTATTCAGAACATGCAAGAGCTCTTTTTTACCTTGCTGAAATAGCCTTCCCCAGTTTTCAGCAAGAAGAGAACCCAGGTCATACAGCATCAAAATCACTGGTCCCTCCAACTTTAAACTAAAGAAGTAATTTCCTTGTGGAAAAGCTGTGACCTCTTTCCTTACCTAAGCCTTTAAGCCAAGCATACTGCCACATTTACATAAAGAGCCTCCATAGTCCAAGCCCGTTCCAGTGAGCGTTTGTAACCCTTCATACCCACAACATCTGGTAGAGTTTTCTGTGATGGAGACAGGAGTCCTGCTCACTTTGTTCTTTTGTGGCACAGGCTTGCTCACTGACTTGCATGTTTAATGAGACATAGATACATATTCATTTCAATTAAGATTAACACCACTTCCTGCCAAAAAGCTCGGTCTACTTCTTTTCAGTTTCTAGTACTTCTCAAGTGAAAATACTGCCATTTCTTTCCTATACACAGATGCTGTGTGATATTCTTCTCTACAAACACTGAGTGAAAAACTGCCTTCTGTTCAGAGCTATAGAACACTCATTAATAATGACTTGGTCATTTCCTCATAGAATAGGCAAAAGTCACCCTTAGCATGGTGAGTTTCATTTCTGTTTACTTCAGTGGACATTCAGTGTAGTGCATGTTGCACAGTGCCTTAACCTCTGTAATGTTAAGAGCATTCCATTTGCAATTCTGTAATTTGCCTTTCACATTTACCTCTGTAACCTTCCACCTAAGCTGCTGTGGCAGGGTTTTTCCAAAGTTACTGTGGTTACCCTTGTTCCTGTGCTTCTGTTTTTATATTGCTGTGCTCATGCCTTGCACCTGCAAGTTTTCAGTTTAAACTAGACGGAAAACAAGACTTACTGAATAACAAAGTAATTTACATGGCCAGTAAGCATTACCCAGAACTATGCGTGCACAAAGCTACCAGTCAGCATTCAACGCTTGCTCTCAATCAAAATGTACGCCAATTAGCACTATTAGCAGCATAGTAACTTCTGCTGTTAAGAGTCAATGTATGCCATCAGCTACAGACCCCACAAATAAATCTTTGTGAATGTAAAGCTTGTCTCAACATCCTTTGTGCAACAACCAGTGTCTGCTTACACCAAAAATATCTATATCCAATATTGTCATTTAACTCAAAAGAGTTTGTAATAACAGAGGACCTGAGGGACTTGATATTTGGAAGGAGGTGAGAAGAATTCTGGTAAGTTGCATCCAAAAAGCAGTGTTACATTTGCATTAAGATTTCTGGGCCTAGATGGGTTAATTTATGTTTGAAGAATGAACAAGGAATGTTTTATTCACCCTTGTAGAAAAGGAAGAATATAGGAGGAGAAAGGAGTTCTTCTGTAGTACTGAACCATTGATGGTTGTACTGTTAGTTATTTAGTGCTCTTCCTTAGGGCACTTTGCACACTAATATAGAGCCTGATGGAAAGGGAAGTCCTGGATCTTCACTTGGAAGGAGTAATGATGATATCAAGTCAGCAGTGAATCCTACAATCAGACCAAAAATCATATCTCAGTTTACCCTGCACGTAGCTACCTCTAGAAACCTTCAGGCACAATGCTAAATTTACTATGACAGAGAAGTAATTACAGTTGGCATATTGAAGGCTTCCAGAATGTCCATTAACAGGCTGTACAGCAGATCTGTCAGGTCTGAGAGGCAGCCTCTGGGAAAGTACTTAATATTTACTGAGAAATGATATTAACATTGGTCTGTTTCTAGCGTTACATACTACCCAAGATCATTCAGATATATCTGACTACTGCCAAACAAGTCTCCAGCACAGCCGTCCAAAACTCCAGCTCCTCTCGGTGTTTAACTTTTCAAGCCGTCACAGAGGTAGCTCACTGAATAAGCTGCAGCACGAGTGCGCCCATCAGGCTTTCTTATCTCCTTATGCCATGAACTGAGTCTCGGAGCGGACTGTGGTTTTTGTTCTCAAGTGTTTCTTGATGGTTACTGTGATCTCAAGATTCAATTTGGGAATCAATTAGTTCCCTAAAAAGGCCCATGCAGATGGACCTTAAGGGCTAAGCAACAACCGTCCACCTTCTGAGGCCAAGCTCTGCTTCCCTATCTGTCAAATCGGAATTTTTTAAGTCAGGGAACACTTAGCACCAAACTTACCTACATCAAACTCCTATAAACCCCATTCTCTATTTCTTTCACAGACGTTCTGTGGTTACCAGACCTGCCTGGTCACCACACTTGCTACTTATCTACAGTGATGAAAATGAACCATTTTGCTCACTATTGAGGGTCTTGTACCATTAGTGCCACAGGTTTTGATCCTAGTCTTCTCTAAAAAATAGCAGCATATCCATTTCCAATATTATTACACTTTTTCCCTTTGTGATCCCAAGGTTGGTATCATTCCACAAGCTTCAAGAGAGCCTCTTAACTGAATATAAGCTTTTTCTAGGACAAATGGTTTTCTTCTGTTAATGCATAGAACTACACATAGGTCACAAGGGGACAGAACCAACCTAACATACTTCTGGCCATGTGGTAGAATGCATCTTATTTACATTAGTTCAGACCACCATGGGACAAAATGAGATGGAGTGGCTTTGCAGTTATTTCTAAATCCATCAGGAAGAGCTCAAGGTACACTTCAGCCTTGAAGCTGGGCGGGCAGAGAAGGCTCTAGAGGTCACCCTTACCTTCCCCAGGAAATGCTTGCGGTACAGTTTGGCTGTAGGATCGCTCTCCAGCTTCACTTTACCACTCCAGGGAAATGGTATGTCAGACAGAGCTGGATTCAAACTGGAGAGGCTGTGGCTGGTCCCTTCAATCCAGTAGCCCCCAAACTGGGGTAAGATAATGAGAGGATATGGCCACCCTTTCTGTAACACCTATTCAGAAGGACAGAGAACATGACGTTCTCTTAACTTGAAAGGCCAATGCAGCCCAAGGGAAAAAACAAAGAAGAGCAGTAATAACTCACCTCGTGAATGCTGGGGTAAGGAATATACTCCTCTTCTGTCTGAAATCATAATGGACCATTAGCAAAAATGTGGAAAATCTTTCACATGCTAATGCTCTCAGACCCAAGCTGTGTCCCCAGCTAGGGCTTCAGCCCTAGCCTATTCTTAGAGTTTTACTTTAGGACTATAGCTTAGACTCCATTTCCCAGGTCTCAGCATTATAATACAGAAGTTTCAGAACAATAAACTTGGAAGCCAGATTTCCAAGGAGGAGGGATAGCCTCTCTCCCTTCCTTCCACATAATATTAGACTGCTGCTGTTCTTCTGCACAAGGGAATAGTTTACAGACAGTAGGATGGTAGAAATAGTACTATATTTACAGTCAGATCAAGGATGTGTCATCCTAAAGCTAAACTTATGGTGTAAAACTGAGCAGTGTTGAGGCATTTTTGCAAGATGAGGAGGAATACCTGAGGCATTTATGCCAATTTAATGCCCCTTTAGCTCTACTGTCACGACCACAGAGTGCGCTAGCTACTCTGTCAGTCTGAAGTTATATAACACCCTTAATTCCTAGTGCAGCTTTTTTTTTTTTTTTTAAAGGTGATTCCAAAATTAAACTCAAGGTGAAGTTTGATTTTAAAGTTACTGGACCACAGCAGAGAGACTGAAGGAAGGGAGAGGAAGAACTGAGAATTTAAAAGATGGAAATCTGTTCTTTCCAGGGAAGCAGACCAGCCTTCTAGTAGTTTCCAACTGAGTCCTCAAGCAGCCTACTGAAATAAATGCGTGTGTTTTCATAAATATTAGTAAAATTCTTAAATCGAAAAAAATTTAAGAAAATATTTATTCAAAACTAAGATTGTTAATAATACTAAATAGACTTATTGGAACCACTTAAATTCGAAAAGGGGAAGTTCTCACTCTATTTCAGCTATTTGTTTCAGGCTCTTGTGTAGCATCTCCCATAGTTTAAGAAAAAAATACATATATACATATGTATGTGTTCTTGAGCTGTTTGTAGGCGCCCTGCTTACTCCAAGAAGAAAACACAGGGCAAGGCACGTCAATAATTATCTGCCATTCTCAGTAACTTAGGCGGCAACAATGACCTCGCCTGACCTTGAGAGGAGTTGGTAGGGAACATCTTTGTTCATCCAGACGGCTCCCCTGGAAACAGAAAGTCAAAGACAGTGAATCCTGTGTTTTAGCATGTCTC